TCCAGGAAAGTTGCAAAGCTATACCGAGAAACCCTGTCTCGAAAAACCAAAAAAAAAAAAAAAAAAAAAGAAACAGACCTTTTTTCTCACAAAAATGTATTATGAAAGTAATGTAGAGCTATACATACACATTCTTGCTAGGTATTTTTTTCTTTTCCATTTGCACATGTATGTGCATATACACATGTTCCTGCATGTGTGTGTGCATGGAGGTGGGAGTGCTGTGTGCCTGTAGAGGTCAGAGGTTGATAGGGGAATCATCCTTGATCATATCATTCACTGAAGCAGGGTGCTTTAATCAAACCCAGAGGTTAGCCATGCGGTACCTGAGTTTAGCCAGCTCGTTCTGGGGAGCCTGTCTCCACCTTCTGAGGCTAGAACCAGGTAAGCCGCCACGCCCTCAGGGACCCAGACTCCGGTCCTCACACAGGCAACAGCTCGAACCATCTCCCTACTCCTCTTAATACATTTAAAAAAATAAGAGCTGCCCATCCGCTTACACATATGAAAGCTTTTAGTGGTCATTGGGCCAACTGTAATGTGATCATTATCCATCTGAAATATTTTACAGCAGCCGTCAGGATCCTTGGTGTATGAGCTTTGTTGAGCTGTACGATCTTTTGAAACTAGACTACAATTTTCCTGGATTTGCTCAGTGAGACGTAAGATGATGTCAGTCAAGGGCAACACAAAGGCAGCAGAACAAAAACCAGAGGGGACCCCCCACCCCCACCCCCTGCCCTGTTCACTTGGAGGACTCATCAGGCCCATGCTGCTTCCAGCTGACAGGTTCTGCTGGCAGGCTTCTCACCAGAGACAGTGTTTTTATGGTTTTTGTTTTGTTTTGTTTTCAAGACAGGGTCTCTCTACATAGCCCTGGCTGTCCTGGAACTCGCTCTGTAGACCAGGCTGGCCTTGAACTTAGAGATCCGCTTGCCTCTGCCTCCCGTGTGCTGGGATTAAAGGCATGCACTGTTAATTCTTAAACTTTTTATAATTTTTTTTTGTGTGTGTGTGGTACACACGCACATGTGAACACAGGTGTCCCCAGACTCCAGGGGAATGTGTCAGAGTCTCAGGAGCTGAGGTTAACACACCTGTAACTGAGCTGCCCAACATGGGTGCTGGGAACCAAATTTGGGTCCTCTACCAGAGCATTTTTGAAAATTGTTTTAAAGTTTATATGAGGTTTTGCCTGCATGTATCTATGTGTACCACAGTGCATGCCTGGTGCCCGAGGGGGTCAGAAGAGAGCCTTGAATCCCCCGGAACTGGAGTTAAGGACCGTTCTTCACCACCATAGGATAATGGGTGCTGGAAACTGAGCCGAGGCTCTCTGAAAGAGCAGCAAGTGCTCTTTGTTAAATGAACTATGTAACATTGATTTCCTTCTCTAATCTCTGTTCTATCAGCTCTGCTTCTCTAGAGAACCCTGACTAATACAGTGTGGGTGAATGTTTTGCCTGTGTGTGTGTGTGTGTGTGTGTGTGTGTGTGTGTGTGTGTGTGTGTGTAAGTGCACCACTTGCACATGTCAGATCTGGAACGGGTCACAGATGGTTGTGAGCGATCATATGGGTGCTGGGAATCAAACTCAGGTCCTCTGCAAGAGCCACAGTGCTCCTAAATGCTGAACTATCTCTTCAGCCCCTTGCTTTTTTATTTTGAGATGGTCGCGTGTAACGACCATGAGGTCCTGCATCCTTTTCCTCCACCTCCCACGAGCTGGCATTGTAGATGTCTGCCACCACACCTGGCTATGCTATACCCCTTAATATCACCAGGAAGAGATGGAAATGGTGTGTGGGAAGCTGTTGCTTGCTCTGTAGGGAAGAAAGGATAAAAGGTAATGGGACGGGGGTCTCATTGCCATGGGTTTTCGAACCTGCGCTGTATGGGAGGAAACTTGGGAGCAGATTTTCAGGTTTTGTTCTTTTGATCACTTGCTTTCCTTTCCTCTCAGTACTTTTCTTTACAGTTTCCCCTCGATTGCCTTTATCCTTGATTTTTAAAGACTCGTCTCCTGTAGCCAGTCCAGCCTGGCCTCCAACTGCCTGTGTGGCTAAGGACATCGCGGAACTCCCCATCCTACCTCCCAGGTGTTGGGATCACAATGCTGACTGTCTTTGTTTCTAACACCACGACTAAAAGCCACTCGGGGAGAAAGGGTGTATTTGGCTTACCTTTCACATCCCTGAGGGATGTCAGGGCAGGAACGCAAGGCCAGAGCCTGGAGGCAGGCCCTGAAGCAGACCACTGAGAACACCCATTACTGGCTTGGTCTCCATGGCTTGCTCGGTGTGTTTCTTATACTACCCAGTCCACCTTCCCAGGACTTAAGAATTAAAATACAGTTAAAGTATAAATAAATACATCAGTAACCAATCATGAAAATATCCCACAGACCTGCCTCCAAGCCATCTGGTGGGGACATTTTCTCACTTTAGATTCTTTTCCTGATGACTCTAGCTTGTGTCAAGTTGACAAACAAAACAAACAAAACAAAACAAACAAACACAACTAACCAGGACACGGAGCCACCGCCCTGGTGATATTGTCACGGTTTTGGCACTCTGAGTCCTGATGAGCCTTCGGCCACATCGCAGAGATGTTCAGGACTAATGTGACGGTAGACCCAGGGAATGCTGCTGATTTCCAAACGGAGCTCCAGCCTGCGTCGGGTCTGAAGGCAAAAACCGAAGGAGACCCAGAAGAGTTTTTAAAAGCTCAGGGGGATGTTTTAAAGACTCAGAGGTTAAGAGTGCTGGCTTTGTCTGGGAATGGTGACACACGCCTCTAATCCC